AATCATACAGTCATTGTTGGAAAGGGTCCAAATACACAAAAATGATGGAAAACCAAAAGAATTTGTGGGACCTGAAGGATTTTTCTGAAGAACAGCAGGCAGTTTAACTGTTCAGGACAAACAAGGGACTCACGAACAACTATAACTAAACAAAAAACACAGCTGTGTGTGGATAATTCAGGTAACAACACAATATTAAGAATTTTTATAAATTCAACTATTATTTTCTTTTGTGGACTATATGTAAACATGTTTTATGTGAAATATCTTATTCAGGTCAGTACTAAATAAACAATAACATGCATTTTGTATGATCCCTCTTATTTTGGTAAAATAATTAACATTTTGCAGATTCTGAAAGGGGGATGTAAACTTTTGACCTCAGCTATATCTGCTGCTAGTCAAAACATGAGTAAATCACTGGTTCAATCAGGATTAAACCGAAAAATCTAGTTCATATCTGCATTCTTAACCAATCAGAAGCTCTTTATCTTCTGCAGGTGTGATAAGTAACTGGACGGACGAGAGTCGTATTCCGCCCTGTACCATCTATCAGGCTTTCAAATACTTCCTGGACATAACCACCCCTCCAAGTCCCCTGCTACTGCAACAGTTTGCTCCTCTAGCGACTAATGAGAAACAGAAAAAGAGACTAGAGGTGCTCAGCAAGGTAAGAAAACACTGAATAACTGCACACACTCATGCATTTCCCTAATTATCATGTAAGACATTTACTTGCATCAATACAAGCCGTGCTAAAGCTCAGTAATGATCTAAGACCCATTTCCACCCACCTCTTCTATATAAGACAAAAGGCGTCACGTCGCCACATGCATCCCTGGCTTTTCCGCCTCAAATCGGCAGTAATTGTCTCAGTTTGATAACTTATTAGCTCTGAAAATCAACCCCCTCCTCCTTACTTCCTTTTTTCCCCCTCCCATGCCTGTTTTGCGCTCTCACATGAGCTTCTCAGTGTCAACACCGAGACATGGAAATATTTCTCTTTCATTGCCTCCCACTGAAACACTCAGTGCAATTTTTCGTAATGTTGCTAAAAATGTCTGCTTAGTTAGTGAGTCATCCTTTCTGGTTCAAATGATTCTGATGAAGGAATGGCGTGAACTAGAGGAGAAAGACACAGGGACATTGACACATTCTTTGCAGACTTTCTTTCAGCTGAGTTCACATCAGTGAGGATGGCAACTTCCCACAGGTTCTCTCTGCTTGTTTAAAATGATCATTTTGTATATTTTAAGCACTTGTTTGGATTACCGTTTAAAAGTTTGGGTTCGGTAAGTTTTTTTTAATGTTTTGTTTTTAAAAGAAGTCTCTTATGCTCACCAAGGCTGCAAAACAGTAAAATATTATTACGATTTAAAGGAACATTTTTTCTATTTGAATATATTTTCAATTTAAATGTATTTATGTGATGACCAAGCTGAATTTTCAGCAGTCATTGCTCCAGTCTTCCGAAACTGTTCCGTTATGCTGATTTGTTCTAGACAGATTGCTTTTGTTGTTATTATTATAATCATTGAAAACAGTTAATATTTTTATGGATACTGTGATACATTTTTTATTTCAGGATTCTTTATTTAGGGTTAGGGTTAGGAGTTTAAAAGAACAGCATTTATTTGAAATGGAAATATTTTGTAAAATTATAAATGTCTTTGCTGTCACTTTTGATCAATTTAGTGTCCTCGCTGAATAAAACTACTCATTTCTAAAATTCATTTTCATCAGCTTTTCAGATTTACAACCATAAAGGTCCTTGCCATTGAGTTTTCTGTGTATCATTTAGTTATAATTATAATGTTCAGGTTTTTCAGGAAACTAAAATTCATAAATTCAAAGATGCATTGTCAAAAACAATAAAGTAGTGTTTTGTTTTTCTTGAAGTTATAGTTGAAAGTCAGAAAACAGAGCAAATAGTCTGATATGGTTAAAAAAGGATCAGAAAAAGGAAGTATAAACTGACGTTTTTTGACCCTTTTTGTAGATTGACAGCTCTAGTAAAGCTCTACTTTGTTGTATGAGAGAGAACAGCCTGGACATAAAATTAAAAAAATGGAGGTGCATAATGGTGAGTCAACGGTGACAGAATTTTCTCTTTAAGGAGAGATCTGAAAAGACCTTTCTGGCTCCTTTTTACGTTCACGTGACTAACACAATTACGCAAATTATTGTGTTGACAGGTTTTTTTACTCGCTCGCTTCTTACTGTCAGTTCACGGCACAAGGTGCTTGCAGAATGTTTTGAGCGATTGCCATTCATCCCGAGCTCATGTGCCAAACCAGAGCTACTGGGAACGTCATGATGATGTTATATGCTTCATTCTGTGTCTCCTCAGGGTTTGCAGGAGTATGAGGAGTGGAAGTGGCACAATAACACTACCATAGTGGAGGTGTTGGAGGAGTTCCCATCCCTCCAGATCCCCTCCACCCTTCTCTTGACCCAGCTGCCCCTCCTACAGCCACGATACTACTCCATCAGCTCCTCTCCAGACCTCCATCCAGGAGAGATACACCTCACTGTGGCGGTGGTGTCCTATCGGCCCAGAGGTAAAGAAAACAGCAGATTGCTAAGGCATTGCTCTTTCATCGCTTTCATTGCTCAGCTCTTAATTGAACTCTTAGTTATGTTTCATTTACATATGAGCTTTATATCATAAGCTACATACGAGCTTTATAAGGTTAGGTTAGGTTATCATCTTCTTTATCTGCATTTAAAGGGATAGTTCACCCAAAAATGAAAATTTGATGTTTATCTGCTTACCCTCAGGGCATCCAAGATGTAGGTGACTTTGTTTCTTCAGTAGAACACAAACGAAGATTTTTAACTCAAACCGTTGCAGTCTGTCAGTCATATAATGGAAGTGAATGGGAATCACGGCTTTGAGAGTAAAAAAAAACATACACAAACAAAACCAAATTAAACCCTGCGGCTCGTGACGATACATTGATGTGTAAAGACACGAAACGATCGGTCTGTGCAAGAAACTGAACAGTATTTATATAGTTTTTTACCTCTGATCAGACCCCCTTATATTTTTCACTCTTTGTTATATTGCAGCCATTTGCTAAAATCATTTAAGTTAATTTTTTTTC